CGCTCTTCCCAACCCCAGTCAGACAAGCTATACATTAAGAATGTCATACACCAAAATACATAAACTCAAAATAAAAGTTTGAGTAAACTCAAAATAAAGAAAAGCAGACCCGACAGGCATAAAATCAAAAGCTGGAGTTTCCCTGGAGCACCACCTTGTGGATACAGAGAAATTTAAATATTACCTGAAACCACAAACATGAATAGGTCCGTAATATCTTAGGGAGGAAACTAAAATAGATCTTCCCATATATAATATTCTACACGCAGTAATAGCAACAGAAAACCAACAGTTCATACGGAAATAGGCAAATTTACAAAACAGCTCAGAAAAAGTTAATAGTACGTAAAGTAATGCAAGCCAGGACAGATAAGATAGTCCAAAGGTATATGCAGCTTATGCTTCAGTCTCAAAACTAAGACATGTGGATTAAATTTTCAAGATACAAAGAGGCAAAACATCCTAAACAGACAAAATTTCAGGATACAAGCGAGTTCTTGCAGCCTGCTGAATACTTTGGTTCTAAGGCACAAAGAAATGGCATTAGCATTCTTTTTGAGCAAGTCCAGAGCATGCCACAATCTGGCTGTCAAGTTACAGCTGCAAAGTCACTGTAGCAAGAAATTAAGCAGTCCAGCCACTTAGTTTCCTACTTTAATCAGTAACTTTCCTGCTGTTTCCAGCTGCTGTCCAAAATGGACAAAGCCAGGCTGACCTGGTCTTTGTCTATTCTAGACCAAAGGCTGCAATTTGACAGTGAACTGGAGAAAACACTATCAAGTTCGACTTGTAGGAATGCCAAGAACAGTGGTCAGCTGATAAACTGAGGTTTTTTAAAAAAAAAAAGTAAAAAAAAAAAAAGCACGTCACCAGTAATTTTAGAGAGGCAGGCATGACTTGATCTTGTCCTCTTCTAACTTGCTGAGATGTGTCATCATTAGGGTCACATGCTATTCAAGCTAAGGGCTGGTGCTATGGAAAGGGCAATACCCAAAGACAAAGTGAAGAGAATTATACACTCCTCCAAGTCTGGTGTAGGGAGTGCCTTGCTTAGGACAGTAAGCTATGGGTTTCTCCTCCAGGTAACTGGGAAATAGACCTCTATTTCTTTTTCCTGCTGAAAGAAGCTGTGATCTGACACAGTTTGGCATGAACTCATAGAAATAAACCAAAGGTTTGGGCAAAAATAAAGGTAGTGTGAACAAAGTGTTCCGATTACTGTATTTTTCATTTAAATCATTAGTATACAGTACAGTGTTTCTATTAAAAACTACAATAAAGTGTAGATTTTGAAGTTAAAGTACAGACAGACGGTAAACCCTCAGGATACATGATTTCTAAAAATGTCTTTTTTATTATTATTATTTCTAAATTTGAATTCTAAAAAACCCGTTAAACTAGAAGAAATGTGATAATTAAGGGGTAGGGTAGTATACTTCCAGCAAGGAAGCTGAATCTTATTTTCTATGTTCATATTCAGTATTCAAGAGAACAGGGGAGTGCAGAACTATCAGTAAAATGCAGAAACTCCTTCTCACACTAAGTTTTTGTATGCTACATGTAATATACAGCTTTGTTAATTACATTGTGAAAATTGAAAAAGTTAAAAGCAGGAAAGAATAAATGAAGTTCACTGACCAACATTCATTTTAATAAAGATTTTGTATTGGTCCTATCATTATAAAAGCAGCTTTTCACTACAAAGGCTTCGGGTTTTACCTGGTTTAGAACTTTTTGGAGATATGGTGTTCCCATCCGATCTGCCATGTGCCTATATGCTGGGTGGGAAAGAAAGAATTTCCTTTCTGCTAGAAGAGCTGCCTTTATGTCCTTCTTCCCATCAATGTCTTTCTGGCTTCTGTTTACAACACCAATATAACCTAAACCAACACAAAACCAATGGGTAAGTCAATGCAGCTACTGCTGAACTACTGAATTCATATTACATAGAACTAGACTGCCTCAGTTCAATCAAAACTTTCCAATTTAGGCATTTCAGATATTGTTCACGAGTACTGTAATGACCTTAACAGTGTCTAAATTGTTCATCCTGTTCATGTCTAACAGATATACTTCCTTTTAAATCACCAATTCAAATACAGAAACATCTGAAACTTTGGTGTACCCCAAAGAAACCACTTAAAAAAATAAACAAAAAACAACCCCCAAACAAAATCAAAACACACACACAGGTCTACATAGATAAATGATATGAGATTAGCAAAATACAGGAAAATTTATTCTCGTTCACTGGACCAACACGCTCCATGGGAGGAGATGGTGGTCTCATCAATAAATTGTAACTAGAATCAAAATTCTTGATATTGTTAACAGTATGAGCAACTGTGACAGTAGCTGCCAGAACAATCACATGGAAAAATTCTGGAAGGGTTCAAAACTTGGTTCACAGTGAGATTACCAAAACTCTGGTGCTTGCTTCTGTCATATGCAAAGAAAAAAGTTTCCTTTGCTACAAGGTACAACAACCTGGCACAGAAAAGAAAACTGGCTATCAACTTGTGCTGACACTTCTTGTTTCCTCTGGCATATGCAGTGTCCAGAAAAAAAAATATTTTACTTGCAGGATATTTTTAGCACAACCTCTTTTATGTTTGCTGAATTGATAACAATAAAAGCTAGGAACTCATGAAGTCCAGCACAACCTTTGATTCACTTCCAGGACTCCCAAACACCACCCTTATCCAAACCACCTTCTGGATTGCAAAGAATATAGGCGACTGAACATTCTCACCTCTACGAAGAGGGAGTAGTTTGTTTTCTAGGATTTCTCTTGCATCTGTTCCTTCATCCATCAGATCTAATTTTGTGATCACACCGATGGTCCTAAGGCCTGACCAGGGTGGAGGCAGGAGGAAAAAGACAGTGAAGAATCATTTCTATTCAGGAGAACAATTACATCTTACAGTTATATAACAACAGATATGTGACATTCTCAAAGCATGTATCACACAATACCAGCTACAACTGCAAGTTATGGTACGTCTGGAAAAGAAGGGATCATCATTGCCAGTGCTGAAATGTGTTCCTCAAATCTCTTTAGCAAGGCTCAGCATTCCTATGATATGACTGCACGGAATTTTTGATGTGAGTATCCAGAAATCCCATCAGTACCATGGTCCATTTTGCTAGGTACTACAAAAATTTCTAGATAGGCATTGCCCCACTTGCTTATAAGAGATAGTGACAAAATTTTAAAAATATACTTACAGCATCATTACCTGAATTACACTGAGCTAACAAACAGCTATTGTGATGTTGAAGCCTATAGGAGAATGTATATATACACATCTATATTATATATTATAAATTATATTTCATACAAGAGTTGGCCAATTACTTCCAATTATGTTATTGCACTCTAGAACAGAAAGTGGTTACATTCAGTCATGCTTACCTTGAGGGTCCACTTCCTTAGCTAACTTCAGTGCATCTGAGTTGGCCAGATCAGTGTTAGCTGGAGTCACAGCCAGTATCAGACAGTTTTCTCTAGAGATGAACTGCATTATCATGTCTCTGATCTGCTGCTCAATATCTGGAGGCTGATCCCCTACTGGCACTTTAGTGATTCCCGGCAAATCAATGAGAGTCAGGCTTAATACTATATGGAAAACACCAGATCATAAAACTGGTTAGCATGCAAGACATGTCTAAAGAGGTCTATACATCTATGGCTGCAGGCAAATTTTAGTCACATAAAACCCCACATAATTACCTTTATAGGTATATAAATATTGTCAACGGTTGAAACAAAATGCCTGACAATCTAAAAAGTACACTTGTTTCCCTGTTGGTCCTTCCTCTCTGGATTTATTAGTGCTACTCAATATTTTAAACATTACAGCTGGCATAGGAGAATGCTACTTATACTGAATATCCTTGAAGGCTCTTGGCCTTCAGACAAATGAACATGGCTTTCTGAGCTTTTTCCACCAACAGGAGCACAGACAACAGACCATTCCCATTGCATTTTCAAATCGACCCAAAACAGGCTTTATTGTTTTTTTTAAATACAGTCCTTTTCTGACCATGCTTTCAACAGTGTCTCCAATTAAGAAATTCCAAAAAAAGTCAATTGTTGCTAAGTGGTTTTGGGGTATATCGTTCTTTTGGGGGGTTTTTTGTTTGTTGGTTGGTTTTTTTTTTTTTTTTTTTTTTTACTCTGTAACTTCTTAAGAAAATTAAGAAACATGAAAAAGTTTATGCATTAAGAAAACCTGTTTTGCTGTGGCATGATTTCCCCAGTATAGGCCACAATGCCAACTAGAAGCATCCTAGCTTGTTCATCCAGTACTGGGGTAACAGGGTATCCTTTAGACAAATGAGAAAAATGCGATTCGTAGAAAGGAAACACCAGAAGTATATTTGGGTTTGTCATGGTTTAACCCCAGCCAGCAACTAAGCACCATG